AATTAAGGTGGTGAGATTTTTTTTTTGTGGCTTTTTGTTTCACGTAGGTGAGTAGCGTACTAAATAAGCTTCTCGAAAATATGTCTACTCAGTGCAACATCGCCCCGGAAACTATCCCTGCCCCTTATGGAAGTTTTCGCATCCACTCTTTTGCGATTATTTCGTTACCTATGCAAAACATCTTTTCTCAAGGTCATTCAACTTTAGAGCCCCGCCCTGGCTAAAGGGTAGGTGATAGACGAATGCTTTCGCTGGGTGAATTGTAGAGCATTTAGTCCTCTTTAATTTACTATGGAGGTATTTTGTTGCAACACGTAGCAGAAGCGGTAAGTTTCGTAAAAACAAAAAAAAAAACGACCTTTAAGAAGATGAACGGAGATGTTCCAGGGAGAAATTTTGTTGGAAAAAGTTAGACCCATAATAGGCAGCCCTTGTCCTGCCAGAAAAAAAATAAAACAGAACTTGTGTCGAGTTTGCGAGGTTCAACCTCTCTTTCCTGGCCTATAAGTAATCTGCGTTGTTATGCAGTTTACCAAAATTATGTTTGATTTGGTAATTGTACTGCTACCACTTCTCCAGCCATTTTATTACCTATCTTTCTTGTTATGTTTGAAACCCATTTAAGCGGCGCAGAGTCCGTTCTTATGATTTTTTTTGTCCAGGTGTCTACTTATTGAAATGCTCTGACTATTGCTTACAGTTCCATTGGTGTGATGCGGTAGTTTGTCTCGGGCTTGGTAAGCACTGCACCAAAGTATTCAATAACCTTTTCTTCTCGATCTTTATTTGCGAGAATTTTTTTCTGCTTAAAATGGTCATTTGGAATTGATGTCAGGGTTGTTTTTCACTAGACAGCTCTAGAGAACCCGTTTTGCTCGCGTCCGTGTTCAAAATAAATTTTCCATATATGCTTGGACAGCCTCATATTCGACTGGTACATATAAATGCATTTAGCCTCCCAAATGCTACGTCACATTGGGTAGTTTAATCCAAAGTAGCTTTGTCTTCAGCAAATTTGTGCAATGGCGCTGCTACCTTCCAAATCCTCCTACAAATCGTCTGTGAAGTGTACAAAGCCCAAGGAAACTTCTAAGTTCATTCTTGTCCGGAGGTCGAGGCTATTCACGAATTGCCTGGATTTTTCTCTTGTCGGTATGATTCTCTTCGGCTGGAACTACGTGGAAAATCAATCCCCTCTCGAAAGAGTGAACATACAAGAAATGTTATGTGCCATCTAGGCAGATAAGGCATACTCCCAACTTCCTTCCAAGTCCTCGTAACTCGTAATGTTCTTCAGCTTCACTTTTTCAAATTCCTTTGACAGAATTATCGGTGGCTATGACATCGACCTTGTCGATTTGAACAGTGTTGGGACAAAGGTTTGCTATTCGGATAGGTAGGTATTATTTCATGTAAGTTTATCAAGGTTTCCGTAACCCAGGTATTAATTGCAAGTTTGGCGTGGTCCAACGCAGCTCCCAGAATTATTATTCAGCTGTTCACATAATATAATTTGTGTTGCCATGTATTTCCACAGTTTGTGTAGTTATCACGGCGACGGACATTGGATTCTTTGGTTAGGACAGACAAATACTGCCAATTTCCAGAAAGTTGAGCTGCTTGTCGAAGGCAAAACTATTTGGAAAGCCATACCCAGCCAGAATAAACTTATCTTCTTTTTCCAGCAAATGGCACGGTGTGTGATAGATGTTAACCTTTCCTTACCTCAGGTCGACTATTGTTTCACCATGAACATTTTCGATCTCTCTTGTCATTGTGTGTAGAATAACACCCTTTGAATTAAATTAAATTATTTCGCAATATTTGAATTTATTAAAGATGGTCCACTGTGATGATGATCAAATCCTCCAATAGCCAAACTGTTCGCAGTCTTTCAAAGCATTTTGATGGATATAATTCTTTGGGCTTTACTCGCTCCAGCCAATACTGCTTCGCCTAATCTAATTGAAGTTTTCTTGGTTCCCCATTGAAGGCCGAGAGTCACCAGAAGGAGAATGAGATCTCAGCCGTACTCTACAGTCACGAATAAAATGTTTTCTTGTTTCGCAGCGGTAACATAGGCTGCCCCCTTTTAGGTTTCCTTGATTGCTGCTCATAATAACTTTCCGAAATTCTTTTAGAATTTCCTTCATTATTGTGGCACTAAAGGTTCTTGTTCTCCTCGTATTGACACCAGCTGTGTTCTTTGGTTTAGATTCTTGAGTAGAAACCAAAAATGGGGGACTCATTTTAAATAAGCAAGCATGTTGAAAATATTTTAGCCGCGTTGCCAATATTGATATCAGTATACTGATACTCTATGGTTTGGTTATGAGCAGCATTCTCTAAACAATGGAGATTCATATTTCTACTTCCATTGATGACATTTTCGGTCGCTAGTTGTTCACGGATATTCGCTCTAGCTTCTAGGTAGGCTCTCTTGATGTCTTTCTTTCTAACTTCGGTCTTTCTCTTTTTGGTTTTCTTTCTATCGTCGGTCTTCCTTTGCTTGTTTTTCTCGTCGTTAGTATTTTTCTTCTTGTGTCTCGGCTTCGATATTTTTCAGCAACATTTGAATAATTTACTCCATTTCGGCGGTATGCTTTCGTGTATTTACTATACAATAACTACTATCTTTCTAAAAACTTGATTCGGAAATATAAGGTTCAGTGGCGAAATCAAAACTCCTGAACCTTGTTCATTTCTCAAATAGAACACGATGGGAGGTTCTAGGACAATCACTCTTTGCACTTGTTTTTCGATGTCAAAACTAGTAATTAATAAAGTCACTATCTCCGTTCAACAGAAGTTCACTCACTGTTGCCATTAAAAAGTCACTAACAATAACAACTTTTATTTATTTATTTATATATTTATTTACCTATTTGCAAAATGACTATAGCATCCACCCATACATATATATTTATTTTTATTTTAATTAGCGTTGCTTTTATCACAATAAGGGGGCAACAGCACTTAGCTGTTTCTTTGGTTGCCTAACTTTTGAAAAAGGTCTTGCCATCGATTATTTCCCACAAATAAAAATAACCACGCTAAAAATACCTCCATAAATCTTTGGATAATGGATCAAATAATGTTTATGTCAAAGCACACCTCTTATGGGTTTTTGGTTTTCTGTCAAACTCAATGAAATTTTGATATGTGGTATATTTTGACTTACTGATAAAAGGTTCTCATAGGCCCAATCCGATACTATGAATAGTTTCCGAAATACAGGTGGTTTAATGTCCAAGAAATGTACACATTTTATATGCATTCACATCTATCTGTAACCTATTAATGGGTCTGTCAGAGTGAATTTCATTGGTTGAAACTAGTTTTCCGACTGTCTCTGACTGTTTTCGACCAATCAAATTCGCTCTAACGGGTTTGTGATTTTTGCAGAAACAGACCTATTATTAGGTGACAGGTAGATGTAAATACATATCGGGTCTTCAAAAAAAAAAGAATCAAAGATTGCTATGATTTTTTAAACGTATGTCTTAGCTATATTTGTCTTTAATTTTGTCAATGAACTTTAATGTCAAAATGTCATGTCAAATATCCTGACCAATAAAGAAACAGTAATGCGACGTACGTTTTCGTAATCAAAGCAATCTTCGATTGTTTTTTTTTTTTGAAGACCCGATATAAAATGTGTACATTTCTTGGACATGAAAGTACCTGTATCTCAAAAACTAATCATAGGATTGGTTCGGGCCCATGAGAACTTTTTATCAGGGAGTCAAGGTCTAACACATATCAAAATTTCATTGAGTTTGACAGAAAACCAAAAACCCATAAGAGGTATGCGGGGTCCTTTGAGCCAATTTTGATGTGCCGTTTTTTTCGAAGCGATTTCACAAAAATGGGCCTTCGTGCGCATGTTCATGGGGAGCTGTTGCCAACCTAATAGAGCGTACGCTTTTAGGATATAATTATCGCTTTCACTTAAATTTAAGCCGGAACTAAATTTCAAACTACTTGCTTTTCATATAAAAATAGAATTATCCAGTTCCAGTCTCTAGGATCCTTTAAGGCCGGTCGTCCTTTGGATACGTTTTCGTCCGAATTGCATTCGTCAGAAATATAATTCTTTGGTTAGGACAGTACAAATACTGCCAATTTTCAGAAAGTTGAGCTGCTGTCGAAAGCAAAACCATTTGGAAAGCCATACCCAGCCAGAATAAACTTATCTTCTTTTTCCAGCAAATGGCACGGTGTGTGATAGATGTTAACCTTTCCTTACCTCAGGTCGACTACTGTTTCACCATGAACATATTCGGTCTCTCTTGTCATTTTGTGCAGAATAACACCCTTTGAATTAAATTATTTCGCAATATTTGAATTAATTAAAGATGTCCACTGTGATGGTGATCAAATCCTCCAATAGTCAAACTGTTCGCAGTCTTTCAAAGCATTTTTGATGGATATAATTCTTTGGGCTTCACTCGGTCCAGTCAATACTGCTTCGACCGGCGACCGGCCTAAAATGTTTGAATAAAGTTACAATGGAAAAAATTCAATTTCCGAATTCCGTAAACAACCTCAGGTTGACAAATAATCTCTCCGATTTCTTGGCACCGATGCCAATTTTGTAACAATATCTATTTGGTCTGTTTACGCGAAAATATCACTTTGTCATACTGACGAGGTATTTCTACTGTCATTTATGATAATTTCACTCCTCTTATGGGAAAATGTATTGCATCACTAGCCCCTGAAGAGCATAGCGCCACAAATCGTAAGATTGATAAAAGAAAAATCTTAAATTACCCGCAGCGATTACGGAAATGGCGTTATGAGACGTATAATTTTATTTTGATATTGACTTATTCACTCGGTTTTTCCCTAGACCTATGTCGAACATTAGTCGGACTTCTATTGTTCTATACAATGAGACCGATAAGTTGCAACTATAACGACAATAGAGTTTTTTATTGTTTTTTTTTTCAAGCACAACCATTTTCAGAACATCATTTAATTGTTTTTCTCTTTAGATTTCAGGTATCGGCATTATTATAGCAGGAGCTTTGGTCCTGTCCGATATCGGCGAATTCCGACATTTTATGGAAGGACGCCTTTTAGCACCGCCTGTAGTTCTGATTGTAGCAGGATGTATTGTCTTCCTTGTAGCATCATTAGGTTGTTATGGAGCCATCAGGGAGTCATACACTATGCTTATGGGTGTAAGTATTCTCATACAGTCTGAAAAAAATTAACAAAAATTGTAAATGAAAATTATTAATAAAAATACATGTAATTTTAAATTTTCAACAACTGTAGGTAATTGATATAAATGTAAGCTGTATCAATAAGGGTCATATCGTGACCTAATAATAAATAATAAATAAAGTTGACGAATCATTATATTGCCTTGAATTGATTTTGGAATTATTGAACCTCATGCAGGAAAACCGCAACGACCTCAATTTTATTTCTAGCTTATTTTTTTTTTTTTTTTTTGGTTTGATTGGCTTTGCACATAGTGCATACAGCCACTACAATTAACTTAATATACTATTTATGTAACCTATGGTGTATGTAATTATGTGTTACAATTTAAAATAAAAATAATAATAGAAATTCAATTAGTATAGTATTCTCATTCATACTCATCTATATGTCTCAAATGAAAAAGAAGATTCTTGAAAAAAAACTATCAAAACACAAAAGACAGGGTCACTCACTTCACGCCATAGGGTCTATCTAGGCGACTTTATTTACACAAACAGGGGTAATCGACCAGGTAAAAAGGACAACATATAAGGATCAGTACCAAAGGATAACAAGTCCCTAAAGCTTTCTCACACACATTTTGACAAAATTAATAAATAAATCATAAACCTTTTTATCATATCTAATAATGTACATTAAAGAACTAAAATTGATGGGTAGTAGACGTAATTTAGCCAGTTCATCCATTATATGCTTGGAAGCATTTTTATTATGTCCACATTCAAAAAACCAGTGTTCTAGATCATCAATACTGGGATTACTACAATTACATATATTGGTATCGGAGAGTTTCATTTTATGAAGAAGGTAATTGATGTTACCATGTCCAGTTATGGCCCTAAAGAGGGTTACATAAGACTTTCTGTTTAAATCATTAAATTGGATAGAAGGTTTTGGTACTAAAATTGGGTATGTACGTGTATATCTATTGATGTTATTCATTGCATAATCAGTATAATTTTGTTTCCAGATCTTATATAAATTTTCTTTGATAATTGGGAAAACATCATAAAATTGTAAGTTAAGTATAAAATTTTCACTATGAATGGCTTCTTTAGCATATATATCTACTTTTTCATTGCCGATAACCCCACTATGACCCTTGCACCAAACAAATAAAATTTGAATATTTTGTTGTGCTAAATTAGTTAATTTCCGACATATTTCAAAAACTAAGGGATTTTTATATATGTTTTTAGTGCTATTATCTATAGCCTGCAAACAGGATCTTGAATCGGATAAAATTACATATCTGGTTGACTTCCTATTCTGACTAATGTAATCTAGGGAATATAGTATAGCAGACATTTCTGCAGTGAAAATTTCTAGCTTAAATAAGTTTCAAACTGTTGTTCAAAACTAAAAGTCCGTCGTAAAAAGGGAGTCCACAAAGAAATAGTTCTTCAAATTTGTGATAAATACCCACCTCCGTCTCAATTGGCACATCCATACCAGATCAGCTGCCATACGTCATTACTGACTGATTCAAAATACGTGTACTTGAAATTTATAATTTTCGTTCGTGTTTGTATCAAATTTATTTATATTGCCCTGGTGGTTGATCACACATCCTGACTTACGTCTTCCGTTATATCAGAAACATATTGGTACTTCTGGATTTCCATAGCTTCGTTAATTATTCTTGGCTATGGTTTGGTGATAAATCGATGGGATGGAAGTTGTAGAACAACATTTCGTGATGTAATGCTGGGTGTGCACACTGCTATTCCTGATTTTCTGCCTGTCCTTATTTGGAGCAATAATATTGTACTCTGATATGCGTGTGTTCTGCCCCATCCCTGCATCGGACATTTTCCAACCCTAAAGACGGTCACCAATATATCTCAGACACGATCTTCGATAGAACCAATGTATTTGTCATTCTCGTCTACTTCTCCATTACAACCATTGCGAGGTATCTGCTCGATCGATGAGCGTTACTCCAAAATTCGAGGATCGGTGATGTGTGGGATTTGTGCAGATCTGTTCTTTATTTTATATTTCCATCCACATTTATTTAAAAACCAGTTAAAAGTTGACGTAGGGTCTCCGTGCCAATTGCGACTTATATTCAAAAGAAATAGGTTTATCATTTTCAACAGCATATTTAAGTACTTAAATAAATTCAGGAAAAAATACCTGCTGTTAAGCATGATCATCATAAGCACTCACTCGCTAACGAGTATTATAAGAATCATGGCAGGATCATTATCTGCGGAATATTTGATGGCTAAATGAGCCTATTCTGGATCCACATAGCGATTGTTAAAATGCTCCCGACGGACCAACCCAGCAGCTTCAATATTCTTCAGTTGGTTGATATAGTTTTTTCAACCTTTTGATGGAAATGAACGCCACTCAGATGATATGAGTTGGTTTTTGAGAGATTTTGTTGAGGTGCTTAAAAAATGCGTATCTACATTTGATAGTTTTAGCTATAAAATTATCATCTCTATTTTATGCAAGGAGTAGGGTGTATTGTAATAACATGAAATTAGTACAAATACACATCTATCTATCAGAGTGGGGATAAGGAAAAAATGAATGATGTTAATTACAAATATATTGAGGTACCTACCTACTTATAGAAATAAGAAATGGGTATGTTTAGTCCCAACAACTTTTAGGATTAAGAAAATTCGGAATCTTCTCCTATAAACTCAAATGTGGTTATTTTTTCAGTTTGCAGCATGTTTACTAATAATATTCATCATAGAACTAGCTGTGGGCATAGCAGCAGCTGTCTATAAAAATGAAGTACACAAAGGGCTGAAGCAACTCATGAGGAATTCTTTGGATAAATATTTGACAAGTGATTCTGATAAGATTGCTTGGGATAATTTACAAACAAAAGTAAGTGAATAATAATGGTACATTATGTTTTATTTCATCTCATTTTCATTCTATAAACGCGAGATTTAAAATAACAACTTCTCCATACCGCTATAAAGAAAATATTGATTCACATAGAAGACAATAACATCTTTAGCATCACCAGCGACAATCACTACGAGCGTCCGACAATCGACAGTCTCGAACATAAACTAATTTCGGTAGCTTTTGTCACAAATTACGTAAATACTTTTTGTGAGAATTAACATAAACTTAATACACTTAAATATAAAGTAGGTATAGAGGTACGAGGTAGGTAATTGAAAGAGAAATTATTATTCGAGTTTCGGTTTCCCATGATCTCGCTCTCGCAGTCATCCGCACGGCACCTCGTCCGCCTCTGCCTGCCAACGGCACGGCGCCAACAGGTTTCACCACACGCCGGCGCGCGGCGCTGTCTGTCAAGATGGAGTCCGACTGCCATTTGTGAGCGGGTAATTTAAAGTATGTTGTATGTTTATATTTTCCTTGTGGATGTAATGTATGTATACCTTTGGGTAAATAGCAAATAATTAAAAAATAGGAATTAAATTTAATTAGGCAGAAAGTTTCCGTTTATTCGAGATTCAATAAATTAATACCTACCTACTAAAATTATTGATCCTCCATAAAGGCGACTAAATTATAAATAGCAAATTGATATAGATGACAAAATAGATATGTCTTTTCCTAACCATTTAATGACGTCAAAATGTCATAATTGAATGTCGTCATTAAGACGACCTAATAATAACGTGTTTATTGACGTCATTATTAGGTACCATGACGTCGAAGACCAATGCGGACCAAAAAATCACGTCAAATGTCGCCATATCGACGTCAGTGTGTTTGCTGGGTATTTCCCTGAGATAGGGGAACTGTGAACAATCTGGCAACGCCGAATAGAGGTCTAAGTCAAGGATGAACCCCCAAATAAGAAGTCTCCATATCTCAGGGCCTGAAACACCAGAGATAGCCCCTGAACCCGACTTTCGTACTTATTATACGGCCCTTGTGCACTGTTTGGCACACAACATGGAAGTTCTCTGGGATGATCCGCTAAATACCGAATTACCGAAAATTACTCAGGAATGAGGATTAAAATAATACAGAGAGCCCTCAAAACCCTCTTTGGCACTTATTGATCAGCCCCTGTAAACCCGATGCCTGAGATTTTCGCGAAATAAATTTAACGCTGATCGAATAATCTAACCAATAACGGAACGTTAGAGAGCTGATGTTATCAGAAATTCTTTTAAAAGAGTTGTGTAGAAAGTCATGGCGGGATCGGAGCGCTATATAAGAAGTCCGTGTAGACAAGGCGAGTTGGTAGTGAAATGAGTGTCATGAAATAATGATTCATAGTGATATAGTCTTGTGAACATATAAGTATACTTATTTTTAGTGATTCGAAATGTAAGTTTTTGTGTTTTTATAAAGTATGGGCACTTATGAGAGACTTGAGCCAGAAATTCTGCACACGTTATTTTTGTACTTGGGGGTATTACTAAAAATTACTTTTGATGGGCCCAAATGCGCTCTGTTTTTCGATAACTTGAGCTGTGATTCTGATGGATGAATTGGAGACTTGGGGTTGTTTTTTGGAAGTTATTTTTTTTTACGGAATTCAAAAGCCCCAAACTCTGGTCTAGTTAATTTTTTGTTTTTCTTGCGCTTTGAATGCAAGCTAGCAACTCCACAAGAATAGTCCGGAATTCTAATTTTTGCAGAATGTCAAAATTCTATAAAGGAATTTGTACACATAAAATGGGATGTCCTAGTGTCATGTGAAACACCAGGTAAAGTAAGCACTGTTCTGAAATCAGGCCACATACTATATCAGAATAGTTCTACCGAACACAACGGCCAAAGAGTGGTATTTCTCATTAATAGCCAATAGGAAACTGATCTTTGACAGGGTCATCTACATGGTACTCAAACTAAACAAGATATCCATTTTTTCCACGGATATGGACCGACAAGTCAGGCAGAAGATGAATAAATGGAAACATTTCTCGAAGATCTATCGGAAGTTATGGATTCACGCAAGAACAAGACCCACTACAAATTACTGAAATAGTAACTGGCGATTCTAATGCCAAAATCTAGCGAAAAAACGCAACCGATTATGATAACATAGGGAATTTTGGTCTGGGCACAAAAAACCAAAGAGGGGACATGTTGATAAGCCATTTGCATATAGAAAACTTATACCGACCGATCACCTTCTTCAGGAAATTTGAACCAAGGAAGTGGACTTGAAAAATCCCTGCTGTCAGGACTTTTCTACCCCTGATGAAATCAAACAAAAAAGTCATGGTATCGAAGAGATAGAAAAGAAACTAGGACCGACCGACACATTAGATAAGATTGATATCAACGAACTTTACTCGAAAATCACTATTGACATGTGTATTACTGCCAGGAAGATCAGGAACTGAAAAAAAAACTTCACAAAAGGAATGAGAAAAGACATGCCATCGTCCATCGTACCAAACCAAGATTATCGGAAACGCAATGGAGGGCAACGAATTTATGAGGGTTCTAAGGTCAAAATCATCCAACCGAATCAAAACATGCCATTAGATGCAACGTGGGCTCCGAAGATGTTCCAGAGATATCCAAACAGGAAATACAGGCTGCTCTTAGAAAATGAAAAGCAGAAGAAGACAGAATCACATGTGAAATGATAAAAATGGGAGAAACAGCCATTGAAAAACTCGTCCAAACTATTTTAAATGTATGTCTACAAAAAGGCAAAATTCCGGACGCTTGGCAGAGCGCAGAAGCTATTCTGCTTTTCAAAAAACGGGATAAGGGCAATATCTAAAATTATCGAACATCTAACCTTCTATCTCACCTGTATAAACTCCTCACCAAGAATATCACCAATAGGCTGACCAACAAAAGAACAATAATACAACAAAAACCACCGCATCCAACGTACACCTGCACTTGGAATTTATAGACTTATTCCATAAGGCGTTCGGTTTCATTGAAACTTGGGCGTTAACACAAGCAATGGACGATGCCAGAATAGATTCTCCTTAAACAAACATAATGAAAACTATGTACAAACATGACACTATTCACGTCAGGATTAGCAAAGTTTCAAAAATAGATAAAATCGAAATAAAAAGTGGAGTACGTAAGGGCGATACCACCTCTCCAAAATTTTTTACCCTAGCGTTGGCTTTCGTATTATTACAGTGGGAAACTAGAGGCATAAATATCAATAGTTCAACCTACTCGAACAGTCTCTGATTCGCCGTTGATATCGTATTAATAAGTAGCAATATACAGGAACTGAGCCTAATGTTAGACCAACATAATGAAGCTTCGGAAATTATCATATTAAAAATTAACCTTTCAAAGACCAAAATCATAAATAACATTGCAGAACACATAGAAATCGTAAAAGAGTTTGTATATTTAGGACACGACATAATAAAAATAGGTAAAAGAAAACTAAACAGTGGACATATTACCAATTAGTGTTAGACTAACTTGGATAGCCTTCGAGAATATAACTACAGACCTTAAAAGAAAGATTTTTGACACCTGTATATTGCCAGTAGCATGATACTAACCAGAAAGACTGCGAATCAGCTAAGGATAATGCAAAGAGCGATAGAACGGAAATTTTTTAACATCAGGCTGGGGACAGAAAAAGATACGAAGACATCCGACAAAGAGCCAAAGTCATGGGTATAATAGTATGTACCTATTGCAGAATTGAAATGGCAATGGGTAGCTCGACAAGATACACTGGCGATTAAAACAGATAAAGCGTAGTGTAAAAAGAGCGCAAAGGAGATTACTTGATGATATTAAACCACAAACAGGAAATAGGTGGTTCCAGCGCAAAATAGGACAGTATGATGAAGGAGCATGAAAGACGGCTATGTCCAGGAGTGAACAGCAAAGAATAGGTGATAATGAAGAAGGAGATCTGTTGTACAGATAAGACAGCGGCCGTTCCAGAATATGATTTGGTTGATTTATTTAGTATTGTTGACGAGTGGTTGAGACAAACGGTGTGAGTAGTGAGTCATCAGGGCCCGGATTCCAAACCCACGATTCGATAGTCAAATACACTCGTGCAAAAGTACTAAACTTTTAATGAAAGAACCATCTAAGAGCAGAACAGAAGAACTGCTCAACTTAAGCAGGAGACAATTGAGAGATGCGGTTGGATTGTTGACAGGACACTGCCTTCTCAGAGAACACCCAAATACAATGAAGCTAGCAGAAGACTCGCTGTGCAAAAGGTGTGCAGAGGAAGATGTAACACCTCTACATGTAATATGCTAATGTCCTAACCTAAGATGGCAAAGGCAGTGGCACTTTGGTATCTGAAACCAAAGGAAATCGCGAAAGCGAATATCAGGGACATCCTAGGTTTTCCTAAAGGAGTGGACCTGATATGAAAACTTCAGGGGGACACAATGAACCACGAGCTCCAGTGCAGGTATCCGCACACCCCAGGAGAATAGAATAGAAAAGTACGTACGTACCTGACGATAGACGATTATATCAAATCGTGGGTTCGGAATCCGGGAAAAGGTCGCTTGAATATAACCTACAAAAGTCTTTACATCAGCATCTGCTTTAATTTCAAACCATTCTGTCTTCCTTTACCATTCACGGATTAACAAAGAATTGACTGAATTCTTTTCGGTAAATTTGATGGGACGAGTCACTAATCTGTCACAATATTAACATTTATTTTTTTTTAGAGTTTTTACCGTCTGTTATATAATTTAAAGAGTGTTAATTTTAGTGATGATGAGTGGGATTTGAACCCAGTCGAGACAAGAAAATTTTTCATCAACTTTTAATTTATGCGTCTGCATGCCACTAAAATTAACACTCTTTAAATTAATATTTATATCAAATTCGATTTTATCTAAATGACCCCCATATGAATGGTAAAACTGAATTCTGAAATCCTTTTTAGCTTCAATGTTGTGGTGTCGATCGTTCGACGGACTGGGATGATAATCGTCCACCATCTTGTTGTCACCCAACAAGAGAAGGAGCTGAAGACCCGTCTCCGAAACACTGCAAAGATGCTAGACCTGGAGACGAAAGTTTGTATTCAACAGGATGTTTTGAAATGATCGAAATGAAAGCGGAGAATGCTTCTAAGGTTCTGATTGGGGTTGGAATTGGAATTGCTTTCATCGAGGTACCTGAGTATTTTGTCATTTATTTTTAAAAACTCACAATTTTCAAATTATTTTTCAGCTCATTGGAATTGTGTTAGCTTGTTGGATGGCATCTGCGATTAAAAAACGAAGCTAAACTATTAGAAATGGATCTTTGTCATAAACTATTTTGAAATTTATTTTTTAGTACATACCAACCACATTTTCTAGATATATATGTAGGTACCTAACCTCAGTTTATTAATTATTGAATTTCGGTATGGAAAAAGTAGTGAAAAATAAATAGATATATGCACTGATTTAGAATGTACTTATATTATATTATTATATTATATCTATAAATACCTATAAATGAAAATTTATTGTGAATTCTAATTTTGTTGTTAGCTGAATAAGTTATACTTTAAAAGAAGTAATTTAACTGTATTAATGAGGATAATAAAATTACCTATAGCTAATTCAGTAGACTTTGAAGAGAGAGCACAGGCTTGGTCAGGAAAATATAGCGGCCTTTTTAAAGCTGAAATGAATATTCCATTAGGTAGGTACATAATAAATACAAAAATGAGCGGTGTCATTATCAAAATATGTATAAGAAAGTTAACAGTATTTTGCTGATAAATAAATAAAAAACATCACATTTCGATCTCACCCTTTTATAGGTAAGTACTGGAAAAGTATGCGAAAGGCGGTATGGAGCATTGAAACTAGGTATTTAAAGCGAGCTGTGCAATTAAGTAAAAACATAGCTAGGCTATAACTGTAATTGAGGGGTGTTGGTCTGTAGGCAATAATAAATCTTTGTCAATACCATTTTTTTACTACCCCATATTTTTTGCTGTTTTGACAGTAGCCTCTATACTATACAGCCATTTGATACCTAGGACTCCTAGTGATCAATACAAATCGTGATTTCTGAATATTTAAATTGAGATCCACGATCTGAACTTAATAATTATGTCCGGAATTTAAAAATGTCTGTTTCGTGAAACATTCTCTAATATTTTAGAATGTTGTTATGATTCATCCAATAATACTTTTTGGCCCATACCTAGCAATCTACATGGTGTTTTAGAAGAACGAGTTTGAATGTTCCGCATTTAGCATTATACCGAGTGATAATAAACATTTTCCAATTGGCAAGAATGTCTTCAAGAGCTCATGCCAAGCTTCGTTTTAGAAATGAAGGCATCAAACTATTCATTATTGAGAAGAAGAAAAAAGCTTTCTCGCGGTGTAAGAATATACGGGGTATTCAATTTAAAAAAATTGAGTTTTTTGAAGTTATAAAAATTATTTTTTTCATTATCACTCAGTATAATGCTAAAAAAGATTTCTATTACGGACTAAAATTTTATTAGGTATTTAAAAACAGTGGTGCAATCCGCTCCTTTTATCTTTTCTAGTTCTGAGGATATTAGCTAATAAAATGCTTCAGTTTCGGCTGGGATAACCTGTATAATGCAATTTAGGTGAGACGGTGTATTGCGTGACAAATGGAATATTTTTTTAAATTTCCCTCCAAATTCTGTCTGTCGTCAGTGGGTGATTAATATAACCAAGGCACACTTCTCTGTGGAATTTTACGTTGTTTTGTTTAAATTTGACGGATTTTTGAGGTCAAAATTAACCTGTAACTACCTGCGCCGGTGTATAAAATACACCATTTCTACTAAAATGGCGGTAAAAACTCGATCCGGTATCCCCCACTCATGCCCCTTGATGTAACCTACGACCGATGTGCTTACTAGGTGCTCAGACAGTTGCGCTATGGTAGCTGGAAAGTTAGTTGGTTTATTGACAATTTCTTTAGTGCACTACACCAGACTGTAGTGCTATACAAGCATACATGGGTTTGCTATTGTTATCTGGATATGTGAAACAAAATCATATCCACTTTTTGTGACTCTGGACGACAGATGGTACCGATTCTGAAATTTTTCAAGCATGTATGGGTAAAAACCGACTCCTAGCCAAGACAAGTCAAGGCAAAATGATTTCTTATCCCTATATACATTGATTTATGTATTCAATCACACATTCCAAAATGTGGTGTACATAATAAACCGCGCGGGTACCTACAGGAGATTCTAGAGCGCGGGCAGCTAAAGGTTAAATTTAAGGTAAACCAGTTACTTCCTTATGCTTTAGATAATCTGTAAACAATTCATTTTGTAGAATATTTAATAGGATGTAATGTTTATAACTTTTGGTTACTAACCTCACTTTCCACATAGACATATAGAGTCCATTTTTAACATAAATGCTATTTTTGGGGGCTTTCAATTTACGAAGAAGTATTAAGTGAGACAACATACTTCGTAATAAGTGAGACTTTCTCAGATAGTACCATCTATACCTACTAATAAAAATATTTATTGTTGAAATTTCATGCTATTTATACAAACTTCACTTCAATTTTAGATGCCGCGAACGCCTAAACCAAGAAAAATTGCAATACAAGCGCTGAAACCATGGAGTATGCCGTTAATTTAGTTTGTAATGAAAACTTGTCTATGAGGGCTGCTGCTGATCAGTGCAATATCAAATTTCAGACGCAAGCCAGGTATGTGAAAGAAATGTACATTTAGGTACCAAATTATCTGCACTGACAAGTATTCAAGCCTGACGAGGAAAAATTACTCACAGACTATTTAATTAATTGCAGTAAGATGGCCTACGGATTAACTGAAGAAGACACTAGGAAGTTAGCCTATGAGCTCGTAATCAAAAATAATTTCAAGGTTCCTTTGTCATGGGAACAAAAAAAGTGGCTGGTGAAGACTGGCGTAGGGCTTTTATGGCAAGAAATAAAAAAACATCCATTCGCAAACCAGAGGCATGTAGTCTGTCCGAAATACCCTAGCCTGACAGATGGCCCCCGTATATTTAATTTAGATGACACTGGTACGCAAACAGTTCAAATTCCAAAACGAATTCTTGCACCAAAAGGTGTCAAACAAGTACATCAGTCTGCAAGCGGGGAGAAGGGGAAAACAGTATCAATGTGTGGAATGATATCGGCCGCTGGAACGTTTCTACCCCCTGATCTGGTATTCCCTCGAAAATATTTCAAAAACCGCTTGATGGAGGACGGTCCTACAGGCGCCTTAGGTCTTGCCAACCAAAGCGGCTGGATGAAATCGAATATTTTTCTCGGCGTTTCAAATCAGTTTATTGCTCATAGCCACTCATCCAAGCAAAATCCTTCCTTACTTATATATGACAACCACGAAAGTCACATCAGCGTAACAGTTGTAGAAAGAGCCCTAGAAGCTGGTCTAAACATTTTGCCACTTCCCCTTACTGCAGCAATAAGTTGCAACCTTTGGACATTTCTGTTTATGAGCCTTTTAAGGCATATTATAATGCCGCATGCGATAAGTGGATGCTTCAACATCCTGGCATTCTATCGACGATTTACGATTCAGCAGGGCGGATTTCAGAAGCACTAGAAAAATCTTTTACGCCGAGTAATTAATCGCAGCGTTCCAAAAGTCAGGCATCCACCCTGACCACTGATTGACCTAATCCTAGCAAACCACAGAACCATGAGGAAACTGAAGATGGAGAAGCCCAACCGGGCCCATTCCATATCACTGATTCGGGCCCATCCAACACCACTGATTTGCGTTTACAAGAGGAAGCAGAGAAAGAAGAGAATGATCATACTCAAATTCAGACTACTCGTAGCTTAATTGAATAGACGCCTCCCAAAAATACAGAGATGGCCGGCACTTTATTTCACCCGAAGATGTTCGAGGAATTCGTGAAGCGCAACCAAGAACGCAGGTCAGAAAAGGAAGAGAAAGAGGAAGAAGTAATTACAGAAACGCCTGAGAAGGATGAATTAATAGAAAAAGAAAGGTCAAAGGAGTTAACTCGAAAGGTAAAACGAAACATAGGAGAGCTACAGAAAACTGGAGGTAATGAATCAACTTGCAAGACCAGGAATATAAGGAAGTGAGGGGATTTTGCAGGTACCTACTGATACTTCCGCAGATAGTTCAGATTACGAAGTCCTTTCAGAAACCGAAAACTGGGTACCAGATAATGACGCAGAAAAAGAAAATTCTATTGTGACCAAAGCAGATGTATCAGAGGGCAAGTAGATTCCCTAAAAAAAATTCTATGTTGGCAAAGTTATTGGGGTGACAGACGATAAGTTCGAAGTATCATTTCTCAAGAGCGCTAAATTTTTCAATTCTTTCCTGTTCCCGACTGTTCCCGACTGTGCCAGATACATCTTTCCCTACTTTGAATGGCATAGCTATGATACTTCCAGAACCTATTCCAGGCACTACCAAGCGACAATCTGGAATGTACAAATTCGGAATCAACTTCAGTTCAGTTAGCATTCGCTAATTTTTTTTACACAACAAAATAATTAATATTATGTTAAGGTAATAACTACCTATATCTGTGTTATTTTGATATCTCATTATTCGTGTTAGCAATATTTTTCTACGTCTCAGTTTCTACTTGTACTAGTCTCACTTAGTAAACATTTAGGTACCAACTGAGACAAAAACATTCACAAAGAATATAAATTTTTGTTTTTTTCTGTGATATGTTATCTTTATTTTCTGTAAAGGCTCTCATGAGCGCAAATGGTTGTATTATTGACTGAACCAAAGAGTTTCCAGATTTTTCTTTAAATACAAAATTAAGACGGTGCCTTTCAACTAGGTACTCTACCCTTACTAGTTAGTAGTAAGTCTCACTACTCTCAATGTTACTACGTGAGTTTCTTCAAAGTCGTTCTGTTCCTGACCTGGTGAACAACAATAATAATAAGCCCATATCTCAAGCAATGGGATTTTAAATCTAGTAAACATTATTGACGAGGAATTTTGCAACTATAGATGCTTCTTGATTTGGAATAGCGAAAACTTCTGGCCACTTGCTGAAATAATCCATGGCAACTAAGATGCATTTGTTGCCACTCCGCGTAGCAGGAAATGGATCGGCTACTTCTATTGCCATTCAATCGAAAGGCATCCCCATTTTTTTTTGTGTCCTGGACTTGCTGCGCATGTCGCACATTGTCGGCACCATGTCTTGATATCTTGGTAATAGTTCACCTAATAGAACCTGTCACGGATCTTGTCCAAGGCCTTGTTGACTCCCAAATGAGCTCCGGATGTTCCATTGTGAACTTCTTCTAAACCACGAACAGCGTTCGTCCTAGGCATGACAAATTACGTTTTGACGATTATACCATCTGCACTCTCCCAGGTTCGTTTCAGTGAAACATTTTCGATTAGCAGGGAGTCCCATTGAGCCCGCAGCGCCTTGAAAAGTTAAGCTAGAGGTGATATTTCTTACCAGGTTGGTCTGGATTTTCCGAATTCCTTTAGATTTAAAAATGGTTTGATATCACTGTCTTGTAATTGGTCACTTCTAAGCTGTTCGGAACTGTATTTTTGGTACGTTTCAAAATGGGGGTTATAATAGGAACTTTTTCACGCTGGTCTATTCTGAGGCAGTGCTTGCCATGGTCGCCTGTATAAGGCATCTGCGTTATGCAGTTTACCAAAACGGTGTTTGATCTGAAAATTGTACTGCTCTAACTTCTCTAGCTATCTTGCTACCTGTCCTTTGTTGTTTCATGTTTAGAAGCCATTTGAGCGATGCATGGTGTGTTCTAATGAAAAATTCTTGTCAATACAGGTACTTGTGGAAATGGTCAACCGGTCTGACTATTGCTAACAGTTCCTTTCTTGTAACGAAGTAATTTCTCGCAGGCTTAGTAAGCACTCTACTGTAGTATTCGATGACCTTTTCTTCTCCATCTTGTATTT